CGGGATGAAAGGGGCGAGGCTTCCTCTCCCGCCGCGAGAGAGAAAGGGGCGGAGGAGATGTGCAGGTCTCTTTCTCCGGGCGGGTCCTTTGCATGCCTCTCCAGAGATTTTCTGGAGTCTCCTCTCCGATCACTTCTTCCTCCCTTTGGAAGTGCGTTTCGGGAACTTGTCATATCGTCCAGCCAAGTGCCACCCGCTGTGGGCGCCTCCTTAATTAACGCGGGGAAAGGCAAGGTGCTTGGACCCATCTGCGTGGGGAGAGAGATTTCCGCGTGCTCCTCAACACGATTAAGCGTTGAGGAACCTGCAGAAAGCTGCAGGGTGGGGAGTTCACTGGCTAGCCCAGACTCTGCTACTCTAACCTTAGATAGGCGGCTGTGCCTTTTGGCACGGGGCTGATGCTACTCTGAAAGGAAATAGTAGTGGTTTTGTAGGGACTGAAAACATCTTAAATAAGAGGACCTCCCCTATAGGAACTTTGTTCGGGGCAGCCACTGATTTTGTACCTTTAGCAGAATCTTTGTGTTCTGTTTAAAAAAACACATTTGAAATGGTGGAAATGGAGTTTGAATTGTCAAGTTGTTTTAAAGAATGAAATAAAAAAAATGTGAAATATCGTCGAAAATCCACGTTGATTAAACTTACTCAAAAAGAATACCTAAAATTTTCATTCATAGCAGTGATTTTTCTCAAAATTACTTAAGAAAGTGGACTGTAGGTATTTTTAAGTGACCTAGGCACACTGGTCTGGATAGCTGCTTAAAATTATGCTCCTAATGCCTCTCTTTTGAACCCTATTGCTGTATTGATGGGTATCCAGACTAGAAACGATTGTGTGATTTAATAACTTCTTGGGGTTTTTTTTGGCAGTTGGTCTGAAGAAAACAAGACTTTCAGTGACATATCCTAAGTATTACTGAGGTGAGTTATAATTTCTGTAAAAATCTTTAGAATTGGGTAGACTGGAAAAGTTTTTATGGACCAGTGCTGTGTACCAACAGAGCCATAAATAGCGAAAATGGAAGAACAGTCATTGAAAGAAGCTTCGTTTGGTCAGGGGTTCAAATGAATCTGTATAATTAGCTTTCTGATGTGATCTTGTAGAATGAAATCTCAAATTTAGCACATACTTATGAATTTATCCATTCATGTAGTTCCCATTTCTAAATTTTTAAATATTTAATATTTTTATCACAGAATAATATGAACATTTTCAGGATTTCTTTTTTCCTTACTAAAAAATTTTAGTGTGTAGAAAAGATATGTCATTAAAAGTTTAAAAGAGAAGTGATTTATTTTTTCTTAGTAAAATAGTAAAACAATACAATACTGCTGAACTGTCCAGGGGGTAATCACCTATAATTCCACTCCCAACTTAAAAGTACTATCTGATCCAAATAATGCATGTCAGTGAGCATTGGGAAATTACTAAAAAGCCAAAAGAAGAAAACAAAAATATCTTGTATTCCTTCCACCAAAAGGTAATTATAGTTTATACTGTAGTTACATATAATGCAGAGGGGTTTCTCATTTTCATCAGCTTTGCTTTATAAAATAAAGGTCATTCTAGCTGTGCTCATTTTGTCACTCATGTTTTCTTCTTTATGGAAAATACTGGGAACATGGGAAACATTTTGTCCATAAAGCATTTTTCATGGTTGCATAGTGCTCTATAGGATAGATGTACCGTACTTTATATAATCTGATACCTTAATTTTTCTATAATAGCAATGTAATGTTTGGTATCTTTGTGCGTGTTTTACAAGAGATTTTGCCTGAGAACTGTCGTCTGTGGCTAAAATACCTAGGCATTCTGTACATTCCTGATTATTTGGAATAAACTCCTAGAAATGGAAATAAAAGGCCAAAAGGATTATACATTTAAGGCTTTAGTCTTTGTACAATTGTCCATCAGAAAGCGTTGTTCTTACTGCACTTATATTTTTTGCTGTCCTTTTTCCTTTTCCCCCCTATTTTTTTTTTTTTTGCTTTATTTTTTAATTTTCTCTCCTGGGTCTCTTTATTCAAGTAGAATTATAATTTTTAAGTCACACATAGAGTAAAATAATTCTGAGAATTTTTATTGGACCTTACAAGTGATTTCTTAAATTTAATATATTTTTGACTCTAGTTAGGTATTTGTATAGTGGAATATTTTGCTACACAGAAGTGACATTTAGAGGATACTAAAAACAAATACTGTTTTTATGATATAGTTAGTGAGTTTATTTTATGTTTCCTCATAGCTTTCCTTAAAGTTTTCCATCTTTATGTGTATTCTCCTGGTGCTTTTGTACCCTCATAGTACCCTTTATATTGTCTCTCATCACGTTTGTTTTGCAGTTGTTAGGCTCTTTATTTGAGACTCCACTCCCAGAGGGCAGCAACTGAGATTTTTATCACTGTTATGTTTCCCTACCTGATACATGATAGGTGCTTTGTCAGTGTTTGTTATGAACCTGTATGCACTCTTGTAAAATATGTGAAATAAACCAACTTAATGTTTTCTTTAACAGTAATACTTTTCTAAGAACTTGTAATGTTCCACAGATGATGCTGTCTTAGCCTTCAAAATTCTTATAATGATCCAAATACTTGTTTTAATATTGATTTGTAATTGTTAATGTAATACAGATTTAGAGAGCCCATTGAGAATTCTTGAGGATTTTAGATATATTAATGGAAGGTGACTATAGATGAATATTAACTGGACAGTCACTAGACCATCTTTTAGGTATTAATGAGAGAAAATTCATTATGATAGATTTGTTTTTCGTAACCTATTTCAAGGAGCCCAAACTAATAGAATAATGTTCCCTACAAAATCAAAATCATCAAAATTTTTAATGGTGTGTCAATGATGAAAAGCTATTTTGAAAGCAGAATGCTTTATTTATTTGGTCAAGGCTTCAAATGAAGCTATGTAATTAGGTTCTTAAGGTAGTATTTTACACTGAAATCTCAAAATTAGAACATTCCTATGGATTAGTTTATCCATTCATGTGGTTCCCATTTCTGGATTTTTAATCACGGAACATTGAACATTTTCCTGATTTTTTTTGAGCCCATGTTAAAATAGTTGACATACAGGGATCTCATCAGTAAAAGTGTTTAGAATGGAAGTATTTGTTTCTTTGTTTTTTAAGGAGATTATAAAATAGTCTATGTTCTGAGGACTGTGGCATACTCAAAACTAAAGGAAGTCTTTGTCTTTTAGAATAAACCTCATTTTGTGGGAAAATGAAGGAATATGTTCCAGTTTTAAAAGACCTGGATCTGCAATTGAAAATTGTATTTCTGGTATGTAGTTTTACTTTGCCTTTTATTTAGTAATTAAGATCGGCTGTTGCTATTTTATGTATGTATGTCACGTATACATGTATCTTGAAAAATGATCAAATTTGTTCCACCGTACAGTTTCTGTAAATGTCTATGTTGAGAAATAGAACAGATTGCTGTGTTGAATGTACCTGCTCTCCTAATAGTTTTGTTATTTTTTGGAAAGTTACATAATTTGCTTATTTGTTAACAAAGCAATCTTTGCAATCCCTGTATAGTCTTTTTGCCCTATTAGGTGTCACTGCTGATTTTTATGGCCACCTGGAGGCATAGATGCCTGGGGTTTTTCCACATATAATTCAAACTAGAGTGACGTCGTATTGTAGGATTTGGATTCAAGCTGATCTAGGTATCTGGTGGTGTTTCTACATGGCAAGGATCTATGTTCAAGGAGCTTATTGTTAATAAAAGAAAACATAATTAAACACGGAAAGTTAATATAGTTATTTCAAAAGATTCAATTTAGGTAGGTTTTTAAAGATTTAAATCATGGCTTACAAGAATAATAGATTTGTCAAAGTTCAGTATACAATCAGATCTAATTGTTTTTTAAAAGCCAAATTGTAGTTTTGGTTTTTTTTCTTGTTTGTTTGGGTTCTTTTTGAGGGAGGATTAGAGGCAGAGGAAGAGAGAGAATCTTAAGCAGGCAAGCAAGCTCCATGCCCAGCACAGAGCCCGATACAGGGCTCTATCTCACAACCCTGAGATCATGACCTGAACCAAAATAAGAGTCAGACACTTAACTGACTGAGCCACCCAGGCGCCCCAAGCCACATTGTTTTATAATGCAGAACAAGAAGAAATTTACTTCGTGATCATTGAAGGATTTTCAAGGTTAGTGAGATATAATTTGTAAAATTAGAAGGGACAATCTTAGACTTTCTTAGTGGATGGAAAGTTGTGATCAAGAATTCAGTTATATGAAGAAAGCTATGTTTGGGGTAGTAAATAAACCAATTTGGAGAAGATGGGTGACTAAAGATTACAAGGGGAAAATTGTGTGAGGCCAGTTTATCAACATTTCTAGAATTAGCTGCACATCAGGAATTATATGGGGTGCTTGTCCTCTATACAGGTTTGGGAACCTAAGAGGGCCTTGAAAGCTGGGATTGAGCAGGAAATGAAAATTATTTTTGTTCTATTCTCAAATTTTACAAACCAAAATGGAACTAAAAAAAAAATCACTTTTAATCCCACTCTAACATCAGATTTTTAAAATTTCCATCTTCCTTGTTCGTATGCATATTTTTCCTTTATAATTAGATGAACTTTTATTTTTCGTTGTTCCTTTAACATTGTAATAAGCATTCAATGTGACCAACAGTCCCTGTTATAATTTTAATGTCTGAAGGTACTTCATCAGACTGTTTCAACTTCATTCTTCTGTTGCTTGACCTTTTGGGTTTCTGGTTTTTCAGTATTGTGTTATAATTATCATCTGTGTGCATACAGTATCTTCTGTCTTTTGGACCGTTCTTTTAGGATTAATTGTCCCTCCCTAAGTTTAGCTGTCAGCATTGGGTAGCCTGTAATTATAATCATTTTTGCTAATTTAATAGGTGCATAATATGTTGAGCTCTCCTTTTCTTTGTAGTATTTTTGTTGTTAACTAGTGAAGTGGGACCTTTTTCTGTAATTTCACTTACTGATTCATAGTAATAGACAAGTTCTGTCTTCAAGATCTCTATCCATTTATGTAGCAGTCTTGATATTTTATTTAATTCTTTGAGTTTGTTATATATTTAGTAGTAATTTGCTGCAGATATGTTTCCATACAGTCTTCCTTTTTAATTTTAGTTATTTTTCTTGAGGGTTTTTGAATAAACACAGAGAGGTACAATGTACCTAAGATGTATTATTGGAAAATCATTTGGAAACAGTGTCCAGTGTGACTGAAGAAATGACACAGGAATTAGAGGTAGAGAGACAGTTAAGATACTGTTGCAGTGGGGGCACTGCAGTTGATTAAGTATTCCGTTAAGTGTTCTGAGCCCTGCTGAGTGTTCTGAGCCCTGCGGTGGGCTCTGTGTGGAGTCTGCTTGGGTTTCTCTCCCCCTCCCCCCTCCTGCTCTAGTGCCCTCTCTCTAAATCTTAAAAAGATAAATAAATAAAGATACTGTTGCAGTGCATCAGCATGCTTGAAACTAAAGTAGGACCTGGAGAAAGAGGAAGGAATAGGTGAGCAAGAGATTTTGGGGGTGGGGGGGAGGGAGAAAAAGAGTTGGCAGCATGTGATCTCTACTTGATTACAGAGGTAAAGAAGAAAACAAAACACTCTAGATTTTAAAGAGGGGGGAATAGTTCATACCTTTAACAAATTTGGAAGGTCAGGAAAGGCCACTGATTAGTGAGGAAAATGAAATCAGTTTTAAACATGCTAGTTAGAGCTTGAAATGTCTGGTAAGCATTTATTCTTTATCAAAGTACCTTTGAGGTCCCTAACTGGGACAAGGCAAATGCTCTACCTTACATTGTTTTCTGTATTTTGAATTCTTTTTTTTTTTTTAAGATTTTATTTATTCATTTATTTGAGAGAGTGAGAGAGAGAGAGAGCACATGAGAGGGGGGAAGGTCACAGGGAGAAGCAGACTCCCCGCCGAGCAGGGAGCCCGATGCGGGACTCGATCCTGGGACTCCAGGATCATGACCTGAGCCGAAGGCAGTTG